ATATCCTTGCAAACAGCCTGAGGAAAAAATAGGTGAATTTGTAACAGAAAGCAAGTTTTGGAAATTGTTTTTTAAATAACACATTCATTTTGTTATTGCTAGTACCAGTGCCTTACAACAGTGCCCCCTACACATGTACCAGCATGTGAAGAAAGATTTTAAAAATTAACAAATTAACTTTAAATTCATATACTGTAACACTGTCATTACAACTTTCTGATAATTACATCTGTCAGGTTATGATTTGGTTTTAATTGTTAGTAAGTTAGTTAGTTGGTATGTTGGTAAATTAGTTAGTATGTTAGCAACATTATGCAAAAAGTTATGAACAGATTTTGATGAAATTTTCAGGATAGGTCAGAATGGGCCAAGGAACAAATGATCAGGTTTTGGTGGTGATCCATTTATTAATTAATGGTCAACTATTTGTCTTGGTGGAAGTCTGTGCTCTCTGAGTGCTTTTCCAGTTTTAATTGAAATTCAATATCAACTATCACAGAAATAAGTTCCTAAACCTGGTTGCACTGGACCAGATGGTAACTGAATGCATTTAAGTGGAAAACTGCTATCTTCTGACCTGAAACATAAGGACCTTTCAGTTTTGAGTTCTTTTGTAAGACTTGACCTAGGAATTCAGTTTGTACTTTATATGGTTCAGGATTATCAAATACATACCTGTAGATTGTTATTAATCCTATTCCTTGTGCACTGGCCTTCGGAGAGATCACACCAGCCCTTACAGTCAAAGAAATCACAGTCTTTGTGCGCCGTACAGTTCCCAACCGACAGCAGCTCCATTCCAAGCTTGGAGTCAAGAAATGCCATATCAACATCAATTGCTTTTACGGTCTCATCTTCAGCAAGGCCAAAATTTTCCCCTTTGATATCACACATGTTAAACTCCTCTGGAAGATCATTCTGGAATGACTGCAAGAGATCAAGAAGACCAAGAGCTATTTTTGCCCTCTTTTTCCAAGTTTCTTTCTTAGCCATAGGCACCCTTGGCACATCATTATCTAAAAACTCACCAGGGGGCGTGTGCTCCATCAGGTAGGCATGGCCGCATGTGCCGTATATGCGTGGAATGTGTTTCGATTTGTCCTGGAAAATTTTCATGAAGAGGTACTCCTGTTGTTGGATTAGAGCCCACAGATCCTCCATTGCAGTTTTCTTTGGATGGCGGTGAGATGATTTTGGCATGTTGATGAAATCTTTAAAATCTAAAGACCAAACATCTGTCAGCATTTGCAGGTTTCTTTCCATTTTGTGACCAATGTTGTACACGATGCTCTCCTGGGCCATCTTGAGAAACTTGCTGACAGGAAGATCCAGGTCCTTGTTAACATCCTCACCAAACAAGAGGCCATCATAGTCATGTTTAAAGGCATATTTACTTTTAAGGACTGCCTTTTTCCCTTTCCAGTCCATTATGAGAATCTTCTTTCCCTCCCTATAGTTTGTGCAGCTGACATATTTCAGTGTGTAAGTCTCACATAAGTCTGGGCAGATGTTTCCTGCTGCATTCTGGGTTTTATAAAGCTTGCACTGAAATAAAATATTCAATCAATGAATCACTGAATAAGATGATGTCATTGTTAACTTAAATTCTTTAAAGTTCTTGAAAATGATTTTTTAAGTATATTTCAATGTCCTTTATGTCTTCCTCAGAATTATAATAATTAATTTTAGTATTCTACAGTAAATGTGCCATCCAATTATTTTTTATTATGTTTTAGATGAATTATTATTATTATTATTATTATTATTATCATTAAGGGATAAATGACTGGCAATTTGGGTTTTCTCAGATATCTGGTTAAAAAAAACGTACATACTGTACATGTAAGTATGTTATCAGTCAAAATATCCATTTAACTACAGTAGTTTTATCTATTTATTTACATTTTCATCTTTAAATCTCAGTTTTATAATGCAAAAAAGCTGTAAACAGCTCATTTTATTCACTGTAAAAAGGTATACCGGTCACTTAACAATCGTTGTACACAGCCTTACATATTAAAATAAGTACAATCAATCAATCAATAAAAAAATCACACATTCATACAATTCAATTACAATTAAGTTTATAATTACCAGTTCTTTTATCATGAGCCTGGACTCCTCTTCAGAACAGAGCATCTTCTTCAGAATGCTCCGTATTTTGACCACGGCCAGCGTGACAACAGCTAAGATGACCAGACTGACCACCAGTTTACGGCTCACTGACCGCCTACATCTGAACACCCTCATGTTTATAGAGCAGTCACATCTTCATTATCACCTCTAAAGGCTGCTGCTGAGATAAAAAGAATTGTTATTGTATGCTGTTATCAAAGTATTAATTAGCAACTTTTACTTGGCAAGCTGCATCTTATGGTGAGCAAATACTCAGTACTCTAGCCAGCCATCTACCCATTACACAAAGGCACGTTTTACATAATTAAGGTACCCATTCAGACATATTCTATTCTAACCCTAGAACATACCAGCAGTGTCCAGATATTAAAACATGGGAAATCAATGTTATTGAACACTGGGGTAAATAGCTGTGACCTATCAACAATAGTGTCCATGTAGTATATTTGAGATTAAGATAAGAGACATCACCAATATGATCGTACAGCTGTACCAGTATTTCAAAGATAGGTCGACTGTACATGAGGTATTTCTTGATAGTCCCTGTGGTTATTGGTCTAAAGGTCCATTATTGCACAAAACCTAACTCAAGTAAAAACCCATATGTCCATTTCCATTATGGAAGGGACTAAATTAGTAACTCTAAACTCTAATTCAGTGTTAGGTTATAATAATGTAATGTAAGGTAAAAATAATAATGTGCAATCTCAAGCAACTGGTTATACACACGTTAGTTCCTTTATTTTATGTCAGATTTTGGCTTTTTTTAATTTCACAGTAAAGCAAATTTTCTGAAACAAGAATTAGTACCGCTTAAGACACAGCTATACAAAAAAAATGCATGCTGGATATGGTAATAGAGATATACAAGAAGCTGCTAAATAAGCTTCAGGTTAGGGTGGCTGAATTTTGACTCAGTTTTCAGTCTTGCATGCTAACGGTATCTTTACTTGCGGCAGGGGTGCCGTTAGCATGTACATGTAACTGTACACTGAGAGGCCGAAGTCCAATTTTAAAATTTATTTCGAGTTTTAATTAAAATCTAACGTTATACCCAGGTCAAAGGATCGCCATTTACAACATGAATATTCTCATGTTCAAACCGAGTCATACCTACCGCATGCCACAGCGAAAGCATTGTTTATAACATTCGGAAAAAGCTGATCTGTAACATCATTTAGTCCGCCATCTTTGGAAAACCACCTGCCTGAATATGGAAATTGACAGAAATAGGTCACAGAAGGGAATCCCCAGCCTCGCTTTGAGGATAAAACAACATTAGTGGGTTGATAACTGTCATTGTGCTCATCGTCTTCATCCATATTCTGTTTAACTTTCACATGCTTTATTTGATTAATTTGCGCACGAAAATTGAGATGAAAGTGCCAAATCCCATTTTAGGGGCATGTATTGTCCCTAATAGGTTGACCATGCAGTAGCTCTGGCTATTCTATTTTTTATGCCCAATAAACATGGAATTATGATTTTTACGGTTGTTTATGAAATATTTACATCAAAATTGTGTTTACTTTTGTTTTAGATTAATGGAAGTAACCCTTTTCCTATTTTTCTACTGAGCAACATATGAATATTTTTGGAGGATAAACTACAATGGGGATTTAACTATTGCCCAATAAGCGAATGTGGTGACTGCTAATGTATGCTAGTATCTCCATACTCAGAATGAGCCATATCATTGCATAAAAATGACAATAGACTTTGTATGTCTAAACCGTTAACCACATCCTGGAATCACGGACATAAAAATTTGTTATTATGTTCCAGCTGGAATCAAGGAAGCATAGATATGTCACAGTACTTCCTTGATTTCAGTGGTCTCTGGAAGCTCACCTCTTTATTATCAGCTTGACTCTGTCAGTCAACAAGAAATGGCACAGGCATACTGATAGCAGAGAGGTGAGTTTTCAGAAACCACTGAAAGTCTGGCATAAGTACCCCCTCCCCTGTTAACAATCTAATCCTTGTGCATTTTTTTTTTTGGTGTTATTATTGCATTGAACAAATTAAAACTGGACTTTACTTAATTCCATTTTACTGAATAATTGAAGAATCACAGTAATAATAAACTTAGGTATTTATTCAAAATTATTAGATTCTGATATAAACAGAATCCACCTATAGATATTTTCAGATACATGTAATTTGTTTCATAACTTATCAAACAATCTAATCCTTCTGAAGATAGATGTACTCCAACTCTACCAGAGGCAAGCTTGGTGATTTTTTTTTTTTACAAAAACCCACATGGTATAGAAAATGTACATAGAATAGTTAGAAATACATCTGTTGATATCTAGAGAAAAAGTCCTCTTTGAATGTAAAGGTTACCATACCCAGTAGATCAGAAACCAAGTTGTCATCTCAAACTATTCCATTAAATTTAGATTCAACTTACACCTGATTGCTTTTTCTTCAAGATTTATGTCAACACTACCTTTTATCTTCATTTAAATCATTGTATCAAAGGCATCACTAGAAAAGATATTCCTTTTAAATTTTGGTTGGTTGAAATCTGATCACCTTGATCAATATTCATGCCTGACCTCTGGTGCCCATTTTTAAACTAAATTATGTTTAAATGTTTTGAACATTATTATCCTTATTAGGTCATTTTTCTGATCAATATGTCTGCTAGTCTGTTTTAGGACATACACTGTAGAAAATTATGCCCACTACAGGAATAATTTTTACCCGATTTCTTAGCATTATGTTGTGATGTTTAACATACTGGGTACTGTAATGAAGTTCTTATTTTGAAGGGAAAATTCTTTTGTCATGATCTTAAAACTTAATCTTAATCACTTTAAAAGATCAAGTAGCTGACATATACAAAATTGTGCTGTATACAAAATTCAATTGATATTGGTTTGAAAATATAAACTAAAATTCATATATACATTTTAGCTGCAAAATACTTATATTCGATGAGATAAATAACATTCTTTGAGAAAAAAAAGTAAAAATACATTCTGCATGTACAGTGTCTTAAGTTTTGATCCAAATTTCTATATTTCAACTCAAGCCTGGGCTTCTAAATGATTTTTCAAACAAAAAGACTTATCATGAACAGTAATCATAAAATTGCTCACTTTTTAATGTGGCCCCCTATTTCTATGAATTTATCACAGTATAAATTATAAATAAAAGACAATTGATAAGTTGTTTGAAGCCTTGTAAGTGTCCTATTTTTATTTCTGCTTTCATAAAGCTCAGCTTTCAAAAACATTTTAAGTAGATGCACTGGTACCAGTATAGAAGAGATTTTTCTAAAATATTGCATCCAGAAAATTTCTCTCATTCATGGTAGCCATCGATGTAAAACCATGGGAAGTCCTTCCATGATGCAATAGCACATATGGCAGTATGAAAAACTTGTCAAAATGCTTACTGCCAACATTTCCAATATGTATGGGGTCCTTCTCATTCCAATTAATTCAATCTTTCCACCCACGTTCTCTTATTTATTTCTATTTAGGACAGCAAGGGTTATCAATCATGAGAACCACGTCAATGCCATACATTTCCACTAGTTCCATAAGAAAGGGGCGGTCCCCAATGGGATCCAGGCCCATACTTCTCATATGATCTGAAGTCAACGTCCTGTCCATTGACACACTAACGTCCAACAGTGTCTGGAATATCCTGTTGTTTTGCTCTGTGAAAAATCTGAAATCGGATTTTTAATGTAATTCCTTAAAATGTTTGAATGTTTTACCTTTTCAAGATATTGACGTCTTACTATTTTTCAAAAGTTTTGAATCAATTATTTTCAATTCTAGTTACAAAACATGTCATTATTTTTCTTTGACAATGATAAAATATGACCATCTTAAAAAACATTAGTCTTGTATGTTGTTAAATCTAAATGCAGACAACTTGACACTAAGCAGATGAATTAATTTACATACAGAGTAAACACTTCCTCTTCCTCCATTGCTGTTTGTTCTCCAAGTCCTTCTACAAAGAATAATTGGGCTGATCTGGGAAAGAAAATGGAACTTTTAATAATCTTATTTAATACCAGTCTTAAAAGCAATGTTTTTTCTTGTTGGCAACAGGGGGTGGAGAGGGGAAGGTGGGTCCAATCACACACATGAACACACACGACACGCACACTTTTTACCAACATGGTAAATCTTAGACTATGAAAAAAATATCAATATTTACAAAGTAAGTAGTTTTCTAGCAGGTAGTCTAATTATGAGACCTAAGAACTGAAAAGATTAACTATGGCATAGACCCTTAAATGCATAAATCATATAAATGTGAAAATCATTTCTTACCTCTGATTATTGAGTTTTGCCATCTTATCTTTGTCAGCAGGGCTAACTCGTAGCAGTTCTTGCAGTCCAGGAACATGTGTAGTCACATCCTGGTTGTCCACATAGACATCATAAAGCTGGGTTTTACTCTGAAATATCTTCTCTGTGGTACCTTGGGAAAAAGAGAGGAATTAAAAAAAAAATTAAAATAGGAGACCTGGATTCAGTTGAAAATGCCATGATCACTTCTTTCCCACTGAAATTCATGTCTACCCTGGAAATTTCATCAAAATTTGTGAAGCACTTTTGAGATATTTGTCCACTAACAATGGACAAAGCAGTGATGATGAAAACATCTTTATACTAGTATCCTCCTATATTGGCGGAGTTAATAAGACAACCACACAAATACTAAGAGTATACAACAGACTCTGCATAGCTCATCATCTCATCACTCAAATTATCATTTTTCTTTAAGAATTATTTCAGAATGATTTTTTTTCTTTTTGGTTTCAGCTGAAACTTACCAACAAACATCACCTAACTCATAGTTAATTTGAAAGCACAAAACAGTTTCTTCCTCTCCTAATCAAGCACAAGTCCAGTGGCTTTAATGGAAAAAACTTGTTCATCAACTTCCTGGAAATCAAACCTACATAAATTTCCCAGAAATGTACTTCAAAACAACATCAAAACACTCAATTATTCTCAAATTACTCATGCTGAATACTTCACTTACATGCAATAAATGAGACCTCTGATTCTAAACTGTCAATATCAGCGACGTTAATGTAGAAATAGGGCTCCACTTCGTGACTGGATATCCTTAAATCTGAGCTGTGATTGGCTAGGCAGCAGGCACAGTAAACTAGAAAAAAATTATATATGAAATATATTTTAATATATTAAAAAAGTACAAATTATATTTAAAAAATATTAAAACATGTAAATTTGACAATAAAAAAAACCTGTGCAAGAAATAGTCCACAAAAATACCATTATTTTTCTGTTTTTCTTCTACATGTACTTCTTTTTCACTTTCACCCTATCTATATTAGATAATATTAAAAGCCAAGACAAGAAAGCTTTTACGTTGCCAATGAGTGAAATGCTAACATCATCTGAGAGTAATGTTGCAATGGTGTTGAAAGCAGCACTTAGTGCTTTCCCATGAGAACCCCATTAATATTATCTTTACAAAGCTCATCATTCTCATAACTCAGTAACCACAAACAGCTGAAATGAATTCTGCTGAATAAAATCAAATACCATTTTACATGTACCAGATCTTCTTTAATACTTCAGTGTAGTGAAAGCATTCTAATTCCATTGAGAGTTTTATTCTTTTAGAAAATCTGGCTTCTACCTTGCCAGCTGAGAGCTGATGGCCACAGATTGCTAAATTGAAGGTAAAACACTACATTTGCCAGTACGCATGAAAGTCCATGCGTGTACTTACCACGATAACACACGACTCCTATAGGAGGCGGGGAGAAGAAAATTATTCGTTTCTGTAATAATGCAAACTTCCAAAGCACAAAGATTTGTTCTCCAAAGAACTTGATGAACTGTGAGAAGCAGCCGGCAGGATGTGTAATCTGGAAGATGTAATAATAATTATAATTACTACTGAGTCTGATTGCCTTGAGTTACAGAGATAAACTGAAGACAGCAGGACCATGCTGATAATATAGGTTAAGTTTCCACTTCTGAATCAGGGGTTCCAGTTAGCTCTGAAAGTCAGGATGGTTTTGATATCAAACAATGAAAAAGAGAGTATATGTATTTTAGGTAACTGCAAAACTACTTGTAATGTATAAAATGGATATAAAGAAAGAACTTTAGCTAAATCTTGTCTTTATTTTTAGACCAAAATTATTGGTGTATTTCTATTAAAGATAATTACATATGCAGTATATTCCACTAAAATATGTCAGTAACTATCTTTGCAACTCCAGAAATTGAAATGTGTCCACTATTTGTTTGGAAATTATATTTTAAATGTAGATATTTCAGGTGTAAACATTACATTAATATCATTAATCAACAGTAACTGTTACACTATTCAATGTTTAAGATTAATCTGGTTCATTTCTTTTTATTAGAGGGACCTTTAATAAATGTGGCCATCATCAGCCAAATTTTGAACATTATATTTGAGTTTGATCTATTCTTTTAAGAGACACGTCTTATTATTTAAGTCAGTTTAGATCAAGGAGACATAATAACTATTTGTCTTAATTATTTTAAATGGCTACAAGATTTCATTTAACCCAACTGCTACTGCTTTACCTTAGATCAAAGTAGACTTAAATTTTGGTCTAAGTTTTTAATCTTTCAATTGAAATTGGCCCTAACTGTATAGTTCTTGGAAAATCAATTCTCAATCAGAGAGTACAGCACAACTACCAATATTCACAAGTTTCCTTTTCACAATAGTATAATATGCAATTCTTTAATATTACCAACTATATTGATATGAGAAGCATTTCTAAGGTTTTGTGCCTCATTCATCACTTCTATATACAATAACGCCCCAAGAAAATACTACAAAAGGCCTCTGGGGTTGATAAATATTGATTACATGTCACCAACTCAATTAAGAATATGAATAAATGTTCCTGGTATCTGGTTGGCACTAGCTATAAGTAATGGGAGGTAATAATGAAGGGTACTCTGGCTTAGTAGTGGTTCTGTCCATACAACAGTGCAGGGATGCAAAAATGATATTTTTCTAGACGTGTTGATCTTTTATTATTATTATTCTGGCCATACCACAGAATACGGATGCAAAAATAAATATATTTTTCAAGGTGTGTTGATCTGTTGTTACCTTCATCTAGGAGGTTATGTTTTTGGTTCTGTTACTTATTTGGTTTGTAAGTTTGTCTGTTAGCAACATTATCCAAAATGAAATTTTTAAGAACTGTTAAGATGGGTCATGGAAGAAATTATTAGAATGTGGTGGTGATCATTTAATTAATTAATTAATTAATTAATTAATGGTTAATTATTAGTTAATTATGTCTTGGCAGAAATCGGCACTCTCTAAATGCTTTTTTTTTTCTATCAAAGAAATAGAATGTGAATTGGACCTTTATATAGCAAAATAACAGAAACAATTTTCCTAGAAATTTCAACAGTTTTTCAAGGTATATCCTGTCCAAAACAGTAGAAAAATTATCATCTATAAATAATTTCTAGTGACTAAAACAATGGGATACTTAAAAATAATAAAAAAATGTAACAATATATGTCAGGAAAAGATGCTGGATCACCAATGCAAGAGCCATTCTTAAAAACCACAACTTCAAACAGCAGTACACCAGTAAGTACTTAAACAGAATCAGAATAGATTCAGTCCCTATATCTGCTAAATGATCATTACTACCACCTAATCCCAACAGAATTTGATTTCAACTCTATTACACAGAAGCAATCTGTTGCCTAGCACCAGAAACCATAACGGTTAAGTTCCTCCGTCATCAAAGGTCTATTTATGGAGCAGAACAATGACTGGAAATAAAATGTATTTGAGCTGATTCTTATCACAAAGAGGCACTTCCTCCTGGAAATGTACTGTGAAAACCCTGAGTTTCAGAGTACTTAGAGCAACTGCCTCTACCCAATATATATGCTGATAACAGAGGCAAACTACCAGCTAGACTCTGAAACTCAGGGCGGTTCTGTTGGCATATACTGAATGGGCAACTGAAGGTTGTTAAGTGTTAATACGTGAGATACCTACAATCAAGAAATGGTGAATACCACTAATTTTTCCTCATGAAAACAAGCACTAGTACTGTAATTATCTCCGTGGCAACAAGAACTGTGATTACCCAGAGTTTCTGGGCATTGAGAACTTCACCAGTGTACATACACTCCATAATGGTTTGGCATACTGATAATACCCCCATCACACTAGAGGCGGAATTTTTGAATGTCTTTAATAATAGCTTACTTTGAGTTCTGGCAGTATGTCACTACTAGGTGTCGATGCTGGAGTCGATGTTAAGTTTCGTAAGCTCCCCGCGCTACCACTGGGTGGCAGCACTGCTTTCTTGTCTTCGTAGAATGCCTCTAACTGGGAGTACCTGCCTGGGGTCTCCAACTGGTGTCTAGACACATGAGAATAAAAGATCAGTGAAAACACAACACTGTCGTGCTGTCCATGTGTTTGGGCGTGTGTGCAGGCATGTATACATGCATATCTGCCCGTGTGAAAGTAAAAGTAGTTTGTGCCTTTCAGTGTAGGAATTCATGTGTACAAGTGTCTGTACAATGTGTGCTTATGTTTGTGCATTTCCGTGCATGCGTACATATGTGCATGCACATGTGTGTGTGTGTGTGGGGAGGAAAAGGGGAGGAGAAGAAAAAAAAACGCACCTGACTTGGGTTTCCAGTAATTGCATGTGTCTATATAAAAGTGTGTATGAGGTTGAGAGGATTCCCACAGACTTCATTCTGGCACCCCTCTCTATCTGGCTTTCCACTGGCATGTTCTCAAAGCACGCTAGGCCATAGAACTCGGCTTTTCTAAAATATCTGGAAGAACAAATCATAGCAGTGAATTACACAGCCCAATGGTTATTGGCAATACAGTTCTTGACCATTTTCCCCTTGAATGACTTTTCTTGCTGATTAACACTCCGAGAACTTCATGCACACTTTGAATAAATGACTGGAATCGATTCCGGAACCTATTTCCTTACACAGTGATTGTTTCTGGTCTATGGTCAATATTGGTCAAGCTTACTCTAAAACGCATCAACACAAAATACTGTGGTCTTAACTTCAGGGACTTACAAGTACTCCATGCTTTTCACAAAAAGTAAGTGTTGAGGCATAGCAAAGACTTATAATTGGATAGATGACTTATGTACATTAATTGTGACTTTGTCAAATTGGTCTACTCAGAGTTTTTTTTTTATGAATACATGGCTGCTTCACATTAAATGCACTAAACATTCTTAAATGGGCTATTGTACATGATCAATGAGAATAAAATTTCAGCCAATAAAATGACAATTTTCTCAAAAGCTTAGGTAGAAGAACAGAGATAAAATGAGGTGATCTTTTAGATATTTTCTGGATTTTGTAAATACCATCTCTGTGGACCCTGTGATTATCAGAAGTTCACCACATGGTGCAGCTCTGATCTTTTTATCGTCCCACACATCAGAAACATAACTGATTTAAATCAATATTCTTAGTGGGCTACGATTCTAGCCCAAAAACTGATCTGAAATGTTTGTGAAACAGGCCCTCTTTGATTATGAAACCTTCAAACCAGGTAGGATAAATCTTGTCTCTCCATTGTACCATCCTTCAGAGAAATAATTGATTTAAGACACTAGCCATGCCCAGTTGTATGGATGATTAGGAATCATATTCAGCTGAGACAGTATATAGTATTAAATTAAGATGTTACAACTGCAATGTAAATGCGCCTTCAGAGAACATCCTACACATGAGTTAACAAGAATCAATATCCCGCCCTCAGCTAATTCACTGTACAAACACTGACAAAAAGCAAGTTACCAAGATGCATCAGAAAGAAGATGCGTTGTACATGTAGCTATTAATGCAACGTACAGTGCTCTTTATGTACTAGTACAAACACAGTTCTGAAAATGTCACCATCTTTTCGTTTACTGCCTTAGATGTATTATACAAACCAGAATAATACCTGAAAGTACTCTTCTCCAAAGTGAAAATTATGGATAGCAGGCACATTCGCAATTCATTGTATAATTGATGATACTTTGTGTACTGATTGATGAAAAAAATGGCAATTTTGATGGAATAGCTTACTTCAGTAATTACGTGATAAATGCACACTGCAGAAAATTGGTATGGATGTATTAAACAAGTCAAGAATGTAACTCATGCATGTACTGGGTATCTCACTGCATTAAAAACTGCATCACAGATTGAGAAAATCATCATCATGTCACAAACAGACGCCAACACAATAGTTGGCCACTCATGATAGCCACTAGCCTCATGCCAAAGGCCAGTGTACCTGAAACAAGCAAACCTAAAAATATATATATTTTTTCTTGCAATAATTTTTTTGCAACTATAAATTTTGCTAGTTTGTTAGTTTGTTAGCTGGACCAGCAAATTGTTGTACATTTGGAGGACAAACTGGCCAATTTTTGGGCTAAAAATCTTCCTCAAAACTGTCCCTCATGACTTCAATTATTCTATTTTTTTCACAAAAATATGCTTTTCTGACATATGCCAAACTAGTTATTCATAACTTTCTACTTAGCTTTTCCGAGCACAATAACAAAACATACTAGTGTTACATAGAAAAGCGTAATCAATTCTGCTGCAAATTAAATTCTACAAGTAATCACCATCATACATCTAAATTTACCAAGCATTTGGCAGGCTTCCTTATCAGTAATAGCAAGGCTGGTGCATTTTTAATGGTAACATGACCACAAGCATGTTGATGATGTGTTGATTTATCTGCTTAGTTAACCATGCTGTACACAGGAAATCAATATGAACTAACTCCCAAAGAACCCAACACACAGGTTCTCACACTGCACTTAAGGTTAGACACCTGGCTTCAAGAACATAGTATACATACAGTCCCAAGATGGGTTTATATCCAACTTGGGTTAACCCTTGTTGGTACAGTCCAAAGCTGGAGACTTGTTATCTGGTTAAAGTTTTACTGCAATTGAAAATGTTTCTAGGGCATGTTTTCCAGGACAACATATCCTGCACACTTTTTAAGCTACTTACCTTCCCCAATTCAGACCTTAAAAATGACGAAACATCACAAATAAAAGTACCATACACATATTTCGAAATTGTACGGTGAGTAGAAAAAGGTTTTCTTTTTTTCCTAAATAGTATTTTCTTTTTTTAAGGAAAACTGAATTTAAGGACAGGAGAGCTTCAAGTGAGATCTGCCATAGGAAGCAAATGCAATCCCTGTTTCTCCCGTGACCACTACTACAACAAACACTGGAGAACAAAATGGAATATGAACTTAATCAAAGTTGGGACAGAGAAAGGTCAGCCCAAATTGTCTACAGGCATGTCCATGACATGTTAACTTCCTGGTCATACAAATGGATACACATAAATTAATTTGAAAGTTCATTTTTCACCCTCATAAAGGACACAAGTCTGTAAGTTTCCATTTAAAATAATTAAGCAGCAAGCATGATAAAATTTTATTGAATGAAAAAAATGCATGGTTAAGTATACAATGTATTTATGCAATCATAAACATACACTATCAAACGTACAAATGCATATTTCTAATCTCTATTTCTGAACTCAGTAACAGGCATGGGAATGCCCAGCTTCATTTCTAACAGATCAATGCAGCAGAAAACTTAGTAAATATGGGTATTTGCATAGCTTGTATCTTTACTTATTTACAGAACACCTGAAATATTCCAAGTACAGAATGATGAACCCTAAGTTGAGTACCCTATACTTACACAAAATCTTTTAAGAGATGATGTGACCCGCTTGGCATAGATTTAAATTCTACTCCCTCAAGATCCATTTCTTGTGGAAGGCACCACTCTATCACATTTCCTGGAATGAAAAATAAATAGTACACATACTGTTTATCTTAAATAAATTAACATGCACCTTTAAGCATATTGGTATTATCTTAATTAAAATAAATAAAATAACTCGATCCATTATACCGGTATATCAAGTTTCATAGGACAGATACCTTTTTGTTACATACTACACTGTTATATCTCCTGGCTTAAAAAAGGGGTGATGTGGGGGGGGGGGGGGTTATCACTGGTAGCCTCCAGCACATTTTCATGTATACTCATAGCCGTCGAATGATATAGGCTACTACTGTACTAGTATACCATATTTATCCGTACCAGAGCCATATACACATGTACTGTATCGCGCATCACTTTGATATAATTTTTAACTTTTTAAAAACAATTCAAATCAATTTGGTGAAAATAAATCAGTAAATATCCAAGCTAGCATACTTGGTACATGTACCAGTACATGTACTATCTTTCTGATTTTACATAACGACCGCGTACTTGATATCGATAACACCTTACTGAATCATAATCATACATATAATACCTGCAAATTCACTGTTAGTGACTGATTACCTGCTTTTGTATCAAAAGCCACAACAAACACAGACACAATATGGTCCACTTCTGTCAAATTTTGCTCCGAGTTGGTTGGACTTATCCTAATCAGCCCTTCATCCTGCGTTGAAAGAACTCCTAGGTGATTATCCCTCTTATAAAGAGACCTGATTTTCTGTCTGGGATCTTGAAAATCTGTGCTTTCATCGTCCANTAATCTTGTGTTTGGTTCTGGTGCCAACACAGGTGCCATGAGATCACCTGAAACTTTTAATGGACGGAGCAAGGACCGGTACCACACAAAACCCAATTTTCCACGAGGTAGAAATACCATAGCTCCTGTAAGTGGCAAGAGTCAGGGTTGTCAAATGGCATGTGAGAGGAAGGGTCGCTGGCCAAACAATGCACGGAATGCAACGGAATTTGAACCTAGGAAAACTGATCATACATTCCAAGGTTTATGTGATTATTGCAAGGAGCGAGGACACAAATGGCGTAACTGTCCGTCTTTGCAGCAAGGGGAGGGGGAACACTAAGGGCTGTCGACATGGTTCAGTCGTCAGCCACACAATTTTTCAAAGACCCAGTAAAACCCACACCACTTGTGAAATTAAAAGTTGGAAGTAAAGAGGTTTTTGCGCTTCTAGATAAAGGAGCTGATATATCTGTTATTCATGAAAATTGTTGGAAAGAATGTCAGCTGCCAGAGATGATACTAGAGGAGTCCAAGGAGAGACCATCCTCAGTAACTGGAGACATTCTAACCATAAAGGGTTGCTCAAATATAACAGTGTCAATCGGGGACCAGTCTTTCAATCATCGCTTCCGTGTCGGAAGTAATGTAGACAATTCACTGATCATTGGGTGGGATTTTATATTGGCACATGGTATAGCTATGAATCCGGGTAAACGCGAGCTAGTAATTGGTGGAGTTTCACATCCATTAGAACTGAGTCCCTCGCGACCCCCCGGTGTGTGCAGGGTCAATATGGCTGAAGACTGCTGGGTGCCACCTTGTTCAGAGGTTATTTGCCATGGACATCTGGTACACCAAAGAGGTAGACCTATGTTGAGTTATGACGGAATTTTTGAACCATCTCAAGAAAGTGGAATTGGTCTAGCACGAGTTTTAGCCAATGCTAAACAAGCACTTATACCCCTCCGTGTTATCAATGTTTCAGATCAACCTTTGTTCATTAAACAAGGGCAGTTTGTTGGTGAATTTCATTGTCTTAGTGAGCTCGAATGTTCAAAAGTTAGAGGAATGTATGAGCTGTTAGAGTCTGACGGTGAGCACGAAAAGGCAGAAAAGTCGAGAGATGGTTGTCCCCAAATTGATCTGTCAGGATGTGACCTCACAGATAATCAGATGATGAAGCTCAGGGAGTGTTTGGAACGGAACAGTGACGTATTCAGTAAAGATCAGAATGACAGAGGTCTCACCAATATCCTTTCTCACACCATCAATACAGGCAGTGCAGATCCAATAAAGCAGAATCCCAGGAGAGTCCCATTTCACTTGAGGGATGAAGTAGAGAAGCAAGTTCAAGGTATGCTAGAAGATGGCATAATTGAACCGTGTTATGGTCCCTGGTCCTCTCCAATAGTTTTGGTGAGAAAGAAAAATGACGATATACGTTTCTGCATAGACTATCGCAAGTTAAACTCAGTTACAGTGAAAAATGCCCACTCTTTGCCAAGGATCGACGATGTACTCTCAGGAATGGCAGGTGCTACAATATTCACAACGCTAGACCTGACCAGTGGGTATTGGCAGGTGCCTGTGTCTGAAGAAGATCGCGATAAGACAGCTTTCTCATTTGGCCCAGATCTGTACCGTTTCACAAGACTTCCGTTTGGCTTATGCAACGCGCCACCACTTTTCGCAAAGCTTATTGAGCTTGTGTTTAGTGGCATGAACTGGAGGGTAATGTCCACATACTTGGATGATTTATTCATCTATACACGTACTTTTGAGGAACATTTGGAGACACTAGAGGAAGTATTTAGAAGGCTGCGTGAAGCAAAGCTCAAGTTGCAGCCTAGTAAATGCAAAACTGCACAGCCGAAAACAATTAATGTCGGCCATGAATTATCAAAAGAGGGGATTTGCCCAGATCCCAGTAACGTGGAGAAGGTCAAGAATTGGCCACAACCCAAGAATCAGCATGAGGTTCGGAGTTTTTTAGGACTCGCCTCATACTACCGTCAGTTTGTTGAGGGGTTCGCTGACATAGCAAGACCACTGAATAGCTTGCTGGAAGCTGGTACACCTTTCAGTTGGAACGAAGAGTGTGAGTTGAGCTTTCAGCGGTTAAAAGAAAAGTTGATTACCCCTCCAGTACTAGCTCATCCAAGGTGGGGTGAGCCATTCATCTTAAACACAGATGCATCAGACACGGCTGTGGGTGCAGTCTTGTCGCAGGAACAAGATGGCATGGAGCGTCCAATTGTGTTTGCAAGCAAATCGCTCAGTAAAACTGAACGAAAATGGGCCACGTTTGACAAGGAGTTTTGGGCAATTATATGGGCTCTGAGACAGTTCCATGTGTATGTATGGGGCTCGAATCTAACCATCTACACTGACCATAAACCACTCACTCACCACAAGAGCTTGAATTTAGAAGCAGAGGTATCAGGAAGGAGAAGTAGATGGGCTATTGAATTATCCTCGTTTGGAGACCTGGAGATAAGATACCGCCCTGGAAAACAAAATGGAGCAGCTGATGCTCTGAGCAGGATGCCAGACACTTTATCATCTGACAGGGATTCATCTACTGCTCAAGGACAGACACCCTGTCCTGAATTTGAACCAAGAAAATGCAAACAAAGGACAAGCACTTCTTCCACCACTCAGGCAAACAGTGCACTCGACTGTGGAGATTATGTGATGGAGAAAGGTGTGGAGAAGGAAGAGAAAAATGGAAGAAAAGGGAAAGATGGGAGAGACTCAACAAAAAGGGTTCGAGTAACCACAGTGTCACCAGAAGCCACTGCAGACCCATCCATCACTGGCTCCATAGGATCAGAACAGGACCTAGACCCTGATATTTCACTGGTGAAGAGTTGGGTCAGATCTGGAAATAGACCAGATTGGCACCAAATTAAGAACCAGGGACGCGTGTTAAGAACCTTCTGGAGACATTTTGAAAATTTATCCATTGTTAATGAAACACTTTGTTACCAGTGGCAGATTCCAAAACGTGATAACGTAGTCTATCGTCAGGTAATGCCGCCAGGTCTACGTCTATCTGCATTACATGACATACACTCACTGACGGCAGGAGGTGGCCATTTAGGCAGAAACAAAACTCTTAGGAAGCTTCGGGAGAGATTTTATTGGCCCGGAATGATGCAAGAGACGCATGACTATTGTAGAACATGTCCACGTTGTGTGGGCAGACGGAAACCACTGCCAGCCATGCGGGCACCCATGGAAAGTATTTCAAGTAGTAGACCCTTAGAGTTGTTTTGCACAGACATTACAGAATTGCCTGCAACATCACGGGGAAACAAGTATGTTTTGGTAGTAGAGGACCATTTCACCAAATATGTCAATTTTTATCCAATGAAAGATCAAACGGCCCAGACTGTAGCTGACATATTATTTAGGGAGTATGTCAGGGAGCATGGCGTCTCCACTCTGACCAAGGTCGTCAGTTTGAGGCCGGTCTGTGTCAGGAGTTATGTGCCCTGCTACAGATCTACAAATCGAGAACAACATCATACCACCCCCAGGGAAATGGCATGGTGGAACGTTTCAATAAGACACTAAAGAACATGATCGCCAAAACATCACAGGAAGACTGTAAAGACTGGGACCTAAAATTGGGGCCACTTGCCTTGGCATACAATGCCAGTGTTCACGAGAGTACAGGATTCTCACCATTTTTCCTTATGCATGGGAGAGAACCACGTCTGCCACCAGACATCATTTATGGCACACCAACACCACAGTATTGGAAGCAGGCTGGCTTTTACGCAAAGGAGATACATAACGAACTACAGGCAGCCTTTGATACAACCAAAGAACATACAGCCCTGGCACAGGAGAGGCAAAGAAAGGTATATGATAAATGGGCTCATCATCACCCATATAGAGAGGGTGACAAAGTGTGGTTACTAGTCATGGTGTCCAAAACAAGGCACAGAAAACTAGCACTTCCTTGGGAAGGGCCTTATATTGTGAAGAAAAGATTCCAGAATGCAGAGGGCATGCCGGGTGTCACTTACCGCATACAACATGAGGTGACGAAGAAGAAAATGGTTGTACACCACAACAGACTGAAGCCCTATGAGGCACCAAGGATACCTAACCCACTTCAGGCAGATTCAGACTATGTGACGGAGGAAGATGAATCAAAAATACATGTACCTAGACCCAACATTTTTCAAGAGCAACTTCGTCTTGCCCCTGTACTTCCAGCAGAAGGTTACATTGTACATACCAGTAGAAATTCGTTTGCAGCGCCGGAGGCTACTGCAAGTGTAACGTTAGTACGTGACAGCATGCAGCGAATAAGAGCGGGGAGTGTTTGTAATGTCACTTTAGTTGATTGACACGACCTTATTGTACTTAAGCGAAGAATGTAATGTAGACGGAGAGAACGATGTAAGAGGTTGAACGTAGAGGAATAAACTGTAGATAGCGTAGTTAGAAAGCGATAATAAAGAATATGGGAAAACATGGAATTGTTTAGTTATTACCTCGCGCCACCAAGACAAAGTCAGTAACGTCGTCACATATGGTGGAGGATGCAAAAAGAGGAAGAGACTTTCGACATGAATAATGTCAGATAGAGAGGGACCAGTCACCAGACAGACATCCAGAGGAGAACGTATTCTATCCGAAAAGAAGATGGCAACGGGACAAACAAAGGAAATGAAAGGTAAGGAAGAACCTTTTGACTTTTTAGATATTCGAGACCAGTTAGAAGACATCCACATGAAATTAGATGTTATGGGTAAGGGTGACCCTCTCTTACACGCAGTCCAGAGGCAACTTACAGAATTAAACGAAAAACTANAAGGACCGTTACCACACAAAACCCAATTTTCCACGAGGTAGGAATACAGTAGCTCCTGTAAGTGGCAAGAGTCAGGGCTGTCAAATGGCATGTGAGAGAAAGGACCGCTGGCCAACCAATGCTCGGAATGCAATGGAATTTGAACCTAGGAAAATTGATCATACCTTCCAAGGTTTATGTGATTATTGCAAGGAGCGAGGACACAAATGGCGTAACTGTCCGTCTT